CTTTAGGACATTGTGCTGTCACGAGCCTCGATCTATTGATAAGTTTTTCTGCACTTTACTGTTATTTTATCCAACAAATAATGGTTGAAATAATTTGAACAAAGAGTGAAAAAATAATTCTCTCCACTATTTAGCAATGAGTAACTAATACACGTCGCGGATGAAAGGATTTAATTGGGACCTAAACCTTTGGATATAACTATAAAAAAAATAAAAATAAAAATAAAAAATGTAGGAACTTTTATCAAGAACCAGACGGTATTGTCCAATTCTTGATTCTTCATGCTAAAATGATCAGTACTCAAATTTTGAACAATTTCCACCTATAGTTAATTATTAATTTCTTTTTATTGAATATTACGAATCAAATTATTGATTTCTTTATTTATTTGATTATTTTCATTTATTATAATTTAAAGGTTTAGAAGCCTTGTGCAGAATTTTGTTTACTAGGGTTGAATTCATATTTGTGTATTTCTTTTCTTGAAAATAATTATCTCAAAATAATTTAACATGTATTTCAATCAAATCAAAATTTAATATTTACAAATCTGAATCCTCCTCATCTAAGTCACTCGTGACATTGTAATACTCAACAAATTGATAAGGTCAAAGTTTACAGTTAACTCTAGTGAATCGTAACAATGAAATGCGTTTATCTCATAAAAGTCTATTTTCCTCTGTTATGTATTTGATATAATCGGCAAGTCTGTGAACAAAATGGATTAAAATTAAAATATTGTAAAAGTCAAGGAATAATGTGCAAATAGTAAAAATTGTGTTATATTAGGTCTAGAGTTCGAGAATGGAAAAGAAGGAAAAACAGCATGTCGTCATGACTTGGCTTGAGCGTCAGAAACAGTAACACTGTCGCTAGGGGTTCGCTCAAGCGTCACACTGTCGCTCGCCTGTCTTCCAACTCTCGCTCAAGCGACATGGTTATCTGGAGAATTTTTAATTCGATTTTTAAAGGTTTTTTATCCGACTCATAATTCCTTAACGTACATATAAATAACAGAATGCCTCTGAACGTTTTTTCTAAGGTTGAACATTGAGAAAAACACATTCTCTTCATATTATTTTCATCAATTTAGTTTTCAACCTTTGTTCTGTCATTGGTTCTTGGTGGTGAAAACATAAAATCCACAATCCAAATATCAAACTGCTACTTTCTACATATTTGTCAGAGTTCTGAAGATCAAGGGAAGGTGACTGGAGTTCCAGTCGTTGAAGAACGGTATGTTCTTCGTTAATTCACAGGAGATAGACAAATTCACAAGCTGGGAGTTGATGCAGGAAAGCACAATCCAGGAGAGATTTGAAAATTACAGTTGGGAGTTGGTGCAGGAGCACGAAATCTATGAGAGTTGTGGGAATTGCAGTCAAAAGATCAGAAAATACTAGTTGTAGTCGAGTCAACGGACTGTAAGTTTCAATCTCCGTGTTCATTTCTTGGGTTTGTTATTGCTTTCATATAACTGCGGTATTTCAACATAGGAAATTGGACTGTTTGATTAATCATTTAAAGATAATTAATAGTAACTTGTTATTAGTTAATTATTAAGTTTTTAATTTCGCATAATCACTTATTCACCCCTCCTTTAGGTGTAATTTGGGTCGAATTTCATATTTTCTTTCTCAAATTTGAGACTTTATCATTGTTGGCAAACCTCTTAGAACGTGTTAATAAGATCCCATAGGTTGTGGCTAAAGTTTTTGTACTTCCAATTTGAGAATAGTTAGATGATACAATTGAATGAGGCTATATTTAGGACTGTCAAGAGATTGGATTTTGATCCGAATCCGACGAAATTAATGGGAGATGGATTTAGAGTCTCAATTCGATAACTCAATTAAGATCTGAATCCAATAATTCGTTAACTAAATGGATCAAATATGGATATAGGTCAATCCGATCCAATAACAATCCGATCCGATTTGTTATAAATTATCGAGTTGATAAAATATTTTTATATCATATTATTTGTCACTAAAATAAATAAATGAGAAAATAAATAAATTTAGAATAAAAAATAATCAAATTCAAAACATAAAAAAAATTTATAATTATTAAACTTGTTTAAGAATTGGAAAATTAAAAAAAAAAGTTGA